AGAAAGGCCAACGTTATGTCCTTTTTGTTTTCATGATGTTGTTACTCACTTTCCGAGACATCTCTTCAGACATCACAAAGAACATAAAGATGTTCAATTACTACAGAGTCTAAAACCTGGCAGTTCAGAGCGTTTGTCTTTAGTTGCTCTTCTGCGTAAACAAGGCTATTTTCACCTAAACGTCGAAAAGAATATACTAAATCCAGTCCGATCTTCCAAAGACCGTAATGCTGATTACGCCATATGCTCATTCTGTTTAGGGCACTATTCGAAAAAACTTTTATATAAGCATGTAAAAACCTGCAAAAATAAACCAATTGATACCAAAAATGCCGGTAAAGGTTGTCTGTCAGTCTCAAACTTTTATGGCCAGCATATCTCCAAAAATCAAAATTTTTTGAGAACAGCTTGTATAAAGGAAGAAGTATTTAGTAAAATGAGAGCTGATAATATAAGCCAAGTAGCTAAAAATGATGCATTGATTTGCTGGTATGGTGAAAGCCTTCTGGTAAGGCATAAAAGACAGCAGATAGCGAATCTCATTTCCAATCAAGTCAGAGAAATGGGACGAATGCTCATTACTCTAAGAACAACGAATGAAAATGTTACTTCTTTCTTTGATGTGCTTAGACCAGAAATGTTTGGTAGCCTTTTATCTGCAGCTCGAATCATCAGTGGATATAACAAAAAAGAAAAAAGTTTTAGAGCACCTTCTTTAGCATTACATATGGGAACAAACTTAAAATTAATGTGCAATGTAGCATTTAAAATAGTTATTGAAAAACGAGTGCTCCCTGGAGTAACTTGGGATAACAGAGATAAAARKAAATGCGAGATCAAAGATTTAAAAAAATTAATTGAAAGCCACTGGTGTAACGAAATTTCATGCYTGGCATTAAAAACACTGAAGGARAGACAGTGGGAAAAAACTGGACAATTACCTTTAACAAGCGATATACTTTTGTTTCAAAATTACATTAATGACCTCGCTGACMAGGCATATRAAAATTTAAAAAACAAGTTAGATGTACAGAGTTATAAAGTTTTMACTGAGTGTGTACTTACTCAAAGTATTATCTTCAATAGAAAAAGGGTAGGAGATGTGCAGTTTCTTAAAATTAATTGTTATGCAAGAGAAAATCAGAGCATTGATCAGGAAGATTTCACTGAGTCACTTACTACAGAAAAAGTGTTAAGCAAAAAATTTAAGAGAGTTGTAACAGGAGGAAAAGGTTCAAAACCAGTGCCAATACTTTGTTCTCCTAAAATGCAGAAATATATATCTTGTTTGATAAATATTAGAAAAACCACTGAAATCGTTCCTCATTCAAATTCATATTTGCTTGCCAATCCTAATTCAAAAGATAAATGGATGTCAGGCACGAAAGTTATTAGATCTTTGGCTGAAATTTCTGGGGCTGTTTATCCCAAGCTATTAACTTCAACGAAATTTAGAAAACATATTGCGACAACTCTACAGTTAATGTCAATGCAATCCGATGATATGGAACAAATCGGTACATTTATGGGGCACACCAAAAAGACCCACGAAGAATTTTACAGTTACGTAACTATACAGGGTTATTGATTGAACTTTGACCACCTTTTTTTTGCATATACTCTGAAATTTAGAGAAAACTGTTAACTACAAAAGTTATAGATATTAACGTCTAGTTTATTTTAAGATAATACCAATTTATACAGTTGATTAGAATAAACAAGACGTTGATATCTACAACTTTTTTATTTAACATTTTCCTCTAATTTTAAATTAGATGTAAAATCGGGGTGGCCAAAGTTCAATCAATATTGGTTATTAACTCAAACCCGATGAAAATCAAAATAGAACTTTTATATCGAATAGGCCTAGACTTCGAAAATTCAACAAAAAGTACGGCATTCCACTAAAAAAATGTAGGTTTGGTCCGCCACTTGAACTTGAGACACCCTGTATCATATGTTTTCATCTGAAAATAAAGTAGACGTTAATATCTACAACTTTTGTATTTAACATTTTTCTTTAAATTTCAAATTAGATGCTAAAACGGAGTGGTCAAAGTCCAATTAATAATGATCATTAACTCAAAAACAGTTGAAAATCAATATAGAACATTTATATCGAATAGGCCTAGGATTTTGCGCATGGTTGCAAAATGCAAAAAAATRAACGGCGTTCCATAAAAAAAATRTAAGTTTTGGCGGTCTGCCACTTGAATTTCAGATACCCTGTATCAATTGGTATTATCTTAAAATAAACTAGACGTTAATATGTACAACTTTTGTAGTTAATATTTTTT